GGCGTGTTATTCTTCTCCGCACCTACATGAGGATGCAAAGATCATTTAAATTGTCTTTTGAGTTTGAAACACAGTGCAATAAGTACACTTCTAGAAGTGGCATTCAAATACAAAGCTTATTCTTCTTCTTCTTGTTTTTTTTTTGTTTTTTTTTTTCGAAATTGCCTTGCACACTACTTAAAAATCAGACTATTATGAGAGAGTAATGATAGCATACCAGTCATCAAATCTGCTAATTCACCAGATGGATCTGAATTGAACGCCAAACGACTGTATCTTCCATCATAAGTTTCTTCTTCAAAAATAACACGCAATTTGTTGTAGCCTGGTATAGTTTTAACTCTATATGATCGAGCATCAGGATGGTTCTGCATGCATTATATGTAAGTAGCAAGAAACCAACAAACTTTTGTGTTAATCAAGAAGGAGAAGCTTACCTTAATATAACCATCCCAAACACTATCCTCAGCTGTTACCATTTCTCGTGATTCATCCCACGAAAATCTACCGTGCTTAAGAAGAATCTTGATGTCATTGTACTGCTTTCGCCAATGTTTGAAACGATTCTTCAAAACATCTTTATCATGGTGAGATTTGAATCGTGCATTGAAAGATACAACCATGTCATTCCAAGCCTGAGTTATGAAAGTTTGTCCTAGTTTATTTCCTCTCTGCACCTGGTCTTGTAACAACTCAAGGAGGTAACGATCCATTATTGGTGTCCAATATGTCCTTGAACGCTCACTGACATTTGAAGTCTGGCTCCCCTTTCCTTCCCCTACAGAAATAAAGATCTACTTGAAGCAATCCCTTCATTCTTGACAAGATTTAGAGACCAGAAAGAAAATGAAAAGAAAAAGAAGCAGACATTTCATGCGACGGAAAGTTTTCGAATCAGTCATTTAACAATATAAAAAGCTATAAAAAAATGGGATGTGTTTCACACACCCTTTTTAGCTTCTCACACACTCTTATTTCTAACCATGGATTGAATAAATCAAACAGAATCAAAGGCCATGATTAAATAGGGTGTGTAAGAGGCTAAAAAGGGTGCGTGTTTATCATTTCCCTTAAAAAAAAAAAAAGAATGAATGAATGAATAATTTTTTCATGATCGATAAACTCTACAAACGCCTGTCTGTTGTGATAAGGAAACTCAGCAACTTTCATATGTCATTGGTTAACATATCATAATCTATAAAGAAACAAATAACAGCATGTGATTCCCATTTCTCTTTCTGGGGATTTCTTTATCTTTATGACCATCGTGTCGTAAGTTGTAACTCACCAGCTTTGATGTGTGATGTATCATCAAGGTTTTTCTGTAGATGCAAATGATTGTCGATGCCAAGATCGCATTCAGTTCCAAATAACAGGGACATGCTAAATAAGTTTGGCAAGGCTTTTGTTTTATATGTCCGTGCATGAGGGTGTACCTATCATAACTACATCAATCAGTCGTTGATAACAAAAAGAATTAGAAAAGAAAAACCTACCAAGAATATATAACTCAATGATGAAACTGTCATCAGTGTACCTTTGTATATGCATCCCAAACCTCATCATCAGCTACAATCATATGTCGCGTTTCATCCCAGGAAAAGTCCTTCTGTCTTAGCAAAATTGTTGCATCACTATAATACTTCAACAGTTTCTTGTATCGATGCCTTAAAACTCGTAAGCTATGTTGAGGTCCAAATTCTTCATTAAATTTGGCAAGCATAACTGTCCAGGCTTGTTTGTTGAATGCATTATCAGGCTTATTGCCAATTGATACTTGTTCCAGCATAATGTCAACGAAATACTGGTCCATTTCTAGTGACCATTCTGTCCTTGGGCGCTCGCTACTTGAAGGAGCAAGGTTGCCCACTCCGTCACCTACATATTAAGGAATGTTTAAGTTAATGTGTCACATTAAAGCAAAAAGTCAACTTATGTAGTAACATACGTAATTTTTGGAAGCCAACTATCATCACGTTAAGCCAGTCATGTTATAAAATTCCGATGATCAGGCCATCGATACTTGTTTTGCTTATCTTATGACTAACAATAAGCAGATCACCTACTTGTAACAATGTCTACCATTTTGAAGATTGACCCAGAACTTCCTCTCAAGATACAAAAAATGAGTTCTATATGCTTCCTGATCGGCTCATCAAGCACGAGAACAGCACACTACCAAACACTAACCACCTGAAACTAGTCTCTTAAACTGAAACATCAATCGTACACTGTACACTCCTTGGTCTTAGGTTTATGACAAGGAAAGGATACAAACCCGTGGTTACTCCTTGAACTTCATCATCAAAATCTACGTCATGGCTTGATCGACTGTATCTTCCATCAGCAGTTGTATAGCCATAAATGAGGCATAATTCATTGAAATTCAACACCGGTTTAGTTTTGTAAGGCCGTGCATCCGGGTGAACCTACATGCATTAAATGTTATTTCACAGTTACAGAACAAAACAGATAGTTTTACAAATAACCAAGAGTAGGGAAAGAACTGCACCTTGATGTAAGCATCCCATATGTAATCATCAGCTACCACCATCTGACGACTTTCGTCCCAAGAAAACCCATTCTGACCAAGAATATTTTTCACATCATTGAACTGCATCCACAAAGTCGTATACCGGCTTTTCAAGACATCTTTGTCATAATGAGAGCCAAATTGTGCATTAAACACGCTGAGCATTTCGGTCCAGGCCTGCTTGTTGAAAGTATGGCCAACACGAGCTCCTCTATGCAATTGCTCCAACATAAGATCAATAAAGTATCGTTCCATCGTTGGAGTCCAATACGTCCTTGACCGATCACTATTCGCTGCCGCAGTTTGGCAACCCATTTCCTCCTCCTCCTCCAATCAACACTGACATACATAGCACAACACAGAGTTGATACCATTTCTTTTAATGAAAATGTTAAATTTATTAAAACAAAACTGGCAACATTGGCACATTCAGCAGAATTTAAACCAGATAAGCAACAAGAAATTCTTATGTGTACCCGAAACGCTTACTACCACTCCACGCGTCATAATATGAATGGGCGACAAGATTGATACGCTTATATTAATGAAAAACAAATATAAGTGTTATAACTTTGTTGGAATCATACTACCGCGTAGAGGCATTTCGGCTACACCGCTAAAAATCTCATGAAATCTACAATCAATTTGCCACATTTTTGGAAAATCCATTGAACCCAACAAAGAAATAATGAGCAAAAGCTTGAAAGCTGAAATCTTTATCTCTGCAAACCTTAAAAGCTTCATTTTTCTTTCCATTTTATGACAATGCAGCACAGTAGTTGAAGGTGAAATTCCCAATTCGAATTGGGATTTTTACACTGACAATGTCCGCTATCCAAAACTACCAATACTAATATAGGGCAGCTAAAATTTCGAGAACCCAGAGAAAAAAGTGTGCGATATTGATACAGAGACGAAGGCTAGAAGCATATATATTCAAAGGTTTGAGCAGATGGTGAAAAAGTTCGGTGCTTTATACCTGTGATGTTTCTACCGAGCGCAAGAGAGAGAGAGAGAGAGAGAGAGAGAGAGAGGCTGATTTCCGAGGGGGTTGGTTGGCGCCTTGGGAAGATCTGTGATTGCCAAAAGAGTTAACCCTAATCCGGAATAAGGGAAGGAGTACCCGAGGTGTTTGGTCGCGGAGGCAGCCCTTTCAATTTTTTTTGTTTTTATATTTACTTTTATTTTTCGGGTGCGGTGAATTAGAGTGGAGCGGATCTATCTATGCGGACTTCGTGTTAAGCCCACAGAGTATTGGGAAATTGATTCTTAGTACTTATATTAACGGTAATGACAAGTACATACACCCTCTTTTTTTTCTAATTTGGTCCGTCATTTTTGTTTAATCTATTCAATTTGATAAATAAAAAGAAAAAGAAAATGTGTTATAGGAGATTTCCCGAGTTATAGACTAGAAATTGTGTGTAAAAATCAGTTCGTAAATAATAAAGCACAAATTAAATAAAAATAAAAAGAAAATGTGTTATAGGAGATTTCTCGAGTTATAGACTAAAAATTGTGTGTAAAAATCAATTCGTAAATAATAAAGCACAAATTGATTATTGTATATTAAAGACATGGATGTTCTGAAGTTAACCGAGCATGCATATAATCTACCCTGATACCATATTAAAATGTAAGCATATAATTCAAAATGAATTGACAATAAACAGAGAAGTCCAATATAATTTCAGCAATTATGCATAGTTTTAATTCCCGAGTACAATTGGATTTCCATCCTCATTTATGATAATGAATCCAGCTGGTGCCTTTCAATTCCCCACTGAACCATCCAAGTTAAGTTTTAAAAGAAGCTTCTAGAAGAGGAGAAATTTTTAGTTGTGACGGAAATATGGATGGTACATCACATGTTTTTATGTAAGTGATGAGAAATTTTATTTTTTAAATTATTAACATTTTAACACACATATCCCACCATTTACATAGCGACACATAGTGTACCATCTCGTTTGATGGTCACACTGAAAAATCTCTTCTAGAAGAGGGATTCCACCTAATAAACCGTGCTAGTTTCTTTGTTAGTTTCATTCGCATTCATAAAATCTTCACCCAAACTCATAGCCAGCATATCTACTCTTAACAAAACAGCATGTGTGTTAACTGGCACTCTTAACTTAGGGATTGCCATACTTCTTTAGTTATGCATCATTATCATCGCCCATATTCGATATTGCTGGCCAATGAGATCTTAAAAATTAATTTTAAACTCTAGTAGTCCTTATATATTTCTCAACTCATGCAATATCTTACAAGTTACAACATCTGCAACCTTGCGTTATGCGAGGAAAATGATCGTTTCATATGACTTGCCTAAGCGTGTAGTTTTGTTGGTTTAATTCTCTATTTTTTGGTGGTTCATTGATGAGAATCTTGTGCGTTGTGTCAACAGCAGTTTTTGCTCATTATATTCTTGCGAGGGCTTCCAAGTTTTTGTTTCTCTTAGGAGTTGTCTTTGTTTTATTTTTTCTAATAGCTTTTTACATCTCTATTTTCTTACGATGCCTGTAATCTGCAGCAGTCAGGTAACCTTCTGTGTTTTCTTCTTCATCAATTTTGTGTCACCCTTTGCTCATTCAAAATTGGCAAGTCCACTTTCATTCACCATATCTCAATTCAACAATGACAACAAAAACATAATCTACGAAGGCGACGCAACGCCTTCGCTTGGAATGGTTGAGCTCAACACAATGACTCAATACTTCCGCGCAGGACGGTGTACGTATGCGCAACCTTTGCATCTATGGGACTATGCTACTGGATCAATGGTTGACTTCAGCACCTACTTCACTTTCATGATCGACACGCGAAAAACTACGCAATACATGAGCGACGGACTTGCCTTTTTCCTTGCTCCTGTTGGCTATCCAATCCCTCCTAACGGAGCCGGCGGTGGCCTAGGGTTATTCAACACCACCACTCAATATGGAGTACCCCAAAACCAAATTGTAATGGTTGAGTTTGACACGTACTCTAACACGGAATGGGACCCGCCGGGGCAGCACGTCGGGATCAATGTTAACAAAATCTCCTCAGCTATTACTCGCATCTGGGAGTTCGGCAACAAAACTAGGAAGAACACTCATGTGTCGATAACTTACAATGCTGTCACCAAGAACCTTAGTGTGTCCTGGACATACGACGAGGACCCAAGTTCTGCCTCTTTTGCAAACACTTCCTTTTCTTTTCCTATCGACTTGAGTGAGGTTCTACCCGAACAGGTCACAATTGGTTTTTCAGCTGCAACCGGATTATATCCAGAGCGGCACGTTATAAATTCATGGGAATTCACTTCAAGTATGCACTATGGTAGGAGGATACAAAATCAAGGGAGGAAGAGGCTAATAATTTTTGTAGCAGTTTCCGCCTTCGTTGTGATGCTTGGCGTGGCAATGTGTGTTTGGTTGGTGGTACTGATAAGGAAGAACAGAAACAGTTCCTTCAATGTCACCACCCCTTTAAATGTGGATCTCGAGAGACTAGCCTTCCCGAAGCGATTTACTTACAAAGAACTAGTTGCGGTCACCAATGGCTTCGGGAACGATAGAAGGCTAGGCCATGGAGGGTCAGGACAAGTTTATAAAGGGATGTTACAAGATCTAGGCTGCACTGGTTGCTGTCAAGAGAATCTTTGCGGAATCTGAGCACTACGAGAAAGTCTTCATTAACGAAGTGAAGATAATAAGCCGGTTAATACATAGAAACCTGGTGCAATTCATTGGATGGTGTCACGAGCAGGGCGAATGCTTACTTGTTTATGCATACATGCCTAACAGCAGCCTCGACCAACATTTATTTGGCTGTAGAGCAACCTTGCAATGGGACTTTCGGTACAAGATAGCGTTAGGCTTGGCGTCGGCGCTTAATTATCTACACGAAGATGTAGAGCAGTGTGTCCTTCACAGGGATATCAAATCAGCTAACGTGTTGTTGGACACCGATTTCAGCAGTAAGCTTGGTGACTTTGGGATTGCGAAGCTCGTGGATCCGCGGTTCAGGACTCAGACAACAGGAGTTGTAGGGACATATGGATACATGGCACCAGAGTACGCAAGCGGAGGGAGGGCTAGTAAAGAATCAGACATGTTTAGCTTTGGAGTTGTGGCCTTGGAAATCGCTTGTGGACGGAGGACTTACCAGGATGGGGAACTTCATGTGCCGCTTGTCAGGTGGGTTTGGCAGCTCTACCTAGCCGGAAATCTTCTCTATGCAGCAGATGAGAGGTTGGATAAGAAGTTTGATGAAAAAGAAATGGAATGCTTGTTAATGGTGGGATTATGGTGCACTAACCCCAGCAATAAGGGAAGGCCAAAAGCAGGGCAAGTGATGAAGGTCCTTCTTTTCGAAGCGCCATTACTGGAACTTCCATATGACCGGCGGTGGTACGATGATCCATTGCCTCAAGGCAATGATTTAAGTCCTTAAGCTCGACGCCTACTGCCTGAATTTTCAGAAAGACTTGTTTGATTGTACATTTTCCATATAAATTAAGATTATATTTTCTTAAGATAGGTGAATTTTCTCATGTACGTGTTTTTATTTTTCCAATTTAGATTTCTTTGTTGATTTTGATTTTTGATAATTTTAGTTAGAAATTGTTTTAGATTGGGTGTTTGGAGTTGAGTATTATGAGATTTGGGACACCAAAAATGTGGTATCAATGTGGTGTTACCAAAACTTACTACAACTGTTGTCGATATTTAATTTTGATCAATTCAACAATAGAGATATCGATTTTCATTTATTTTAGTGGACCTTTTCTAAAATGCATGTTTTAATAATAGAATTGCATACATGAAAAGCATAATTTAATATATACGTTTTGTGAAACATTTTATGAGATATTATGCTTTTGAGAATATTTTGAATTACCATATTTTATCGAACTGATGTTCTTTATAGTATATAAGATGGATGATCATATATTGCTTACAAAAATGTTTTTACACACTTCTTTAGTGAACCAGCTGTTTCAGACGTAATCAGATGAATAAAACACATTTAAGTTAAATAAATTCAACACAATTATGAACAAACAAAGGGATACATGAGTGAATGAGGTCGATAAGATAAGCAATTTTGCTTTTATATACATTCAAGTGAGTTGGCATATAAACACATTGTACAATGAGTGGGAAGAAACTGAACGTCTTTGATTAGAAAGAGATGGTTTACCAAAAAGTTCTGTTTCCTTAAGAAACAAAAGAAACATTTAGTTCACACATATAATGTGTCCTGCAGTTTAGGCAGCCATTTCAACAGGTAATTAAAAATAGAAAGTGTTGAGGACTTGTTCAAGTAGCTAATTTTGTAACCACAACTGTTCAAAGGCAAAAATAAGCAGAAGGTTTGTTTCCATACGAAACTGAAGAAACATAAGCAAGCTGCAGTTTACATATTTTGCCCCTGTAGCTAAGATGACAAAATATATGCCCTACAACCTACATACCTCACTTGTGCAACATATGCCTTACACTGGAAAAACATCAAAAATCGAATACAAATTTGTAAATCATGGACAGATTTTGTTTTACATTTTTATAATCAAATCAAGTGGCAGTGTAGCACATAAAATTACAAACTTGAAGCAACCACAGAGAGCAGAAATTAAGATGTATATCCTCAAACTTGCAACATACTGTATGGAAGCTAATCGTAGAGGTTTGTGAAGCATAATGCGGCATGAGTTGCAGTCAATTGAACAAAAACATAGTAGTTTAACTAAAAAATGCATGATGAAATGGATTCATAGTTTTCATGCATGACACAACTCTATATTATTCCATAAGTCAACTTAATATCATTCCACAAAGTGAAATTAGAATGCTTACTTGTTGTAGAGAGGGCAATGCCACAATGAAGGCATATGGCAAAACTTAGTAATCTGTAGCCTTCATTGCACTTTGTAGCCGATATGATTTTGCATATCTGATGGCATCTGCCAACACAAAAAATGCCACAAAAGGGATGCCAAGTCTACTTTGATTCTTATGACATGTGATAAATAGAACAGATAGATGCTGTTTTCCATATCAATAGCATACCAAGAAATGTAAAGGACACAACACGGTAGCTTACTAATTCAAAAGATTAAATGAACTATAAATGGATCAGTGGTTAATCGAACAAATTCAATACAACTTAATCACATTCTAATTTTAAGCTAAGCACTATATTGCCAAAAAAAGTGCCTATATTGCTGTGAATGTAAGAAAAATGAGTTAGCACTATCCACTGCTCATTTTGCTAAATGAAACGCCTAGAATTTATTCATTTCAAGTAAGTAAAAATCCAGAACAGGGAGATGGAGATATCGGACGTTGAAAAGTGATTAAATTGCCATCTTAACAATCAATTTAACCTATATACACCTACAGATATCAAATTCAATCTTAGATAAAAATAAAGCTGCTGATAAGATAACTGATTCCTGGTGTGAGTCATCACTTCTACTTTTTATGGCAATGATTACTTCAAGTTCTCATGCATACTCAATTGATCAATAATATCGGCAATATATCCATCATTTCAGAAGGGTCATTACTAAATATCTACTAATCCGTAGTTACCTGTAGTTTGATAATTGGAAGCTGAGGCTTAACAAATTTGTAGATGTTTAGTAATGACCCTCCTGAAGCTCTTTATCAATATCTATGCATGTGAAGTTAAGAAAGACATGAAGAAACTGGAGTCAAGACAAAAGTAATTTTAATTTAAGAATTTGAACAATGAACCTTGAATTAGTACACTTGGTGATATGGATTCCATGTTCCATCAAGACCACTCTGAACAAATGCGAGATTTTGGCATGGATTCTTCGTTCCCATTCTCACAGTTGGCTTGGCATCAATTGCTCTGTTTAACATGTAACATTATATGTATTAATATAACATGTATATAAACAGATAGGTAACATATTGCATTGTGTGTGTATAGTGTAATCTTTTTCTTATACCAAAAAATAGTTGGCAAGGGACACATTCAACCTGCAGATATAAGTTTTATTCAAGTTTGTTGATGCACAAAATCAGCGAGGACTTTGGTACAATAGAAAGTGTCAAGTTTGACCTTCGCTTGGTTGCTCCGGTCTCCTAGTGATGATGATGTGTAAAGAGGTAGAGATAGGGAAGCAAACATAAGATGTACGTGGTTCGCCCTAAATCTAGCTATGTCCACGGAGTAGAGAAATTCTCATTAATAGTGAAGGGTTTACACAAATTCATAAGTTTAAGTATAATTATCATTAGTGGGTTCTAATGATTAGTTTAAGTACAATAATGACATTCGCCCCTCATTGTAGGAGAATGGTATTCTTTTATAGTTGAGGAGAGTCTCCAGCTTTTGTTCGCGACCAATGTGGGACTCTATGAGCCTTATTTTGATGTTGACATGTGTTGTGCTGTGATTGGCGTCCTGGTTGGAGGGAAATTCTTGTGCTTCAACAAGGGTGTCTCAGCATGAACCCCTCAATGGGTCCTTGAAGGTATGACGATGTCTGATGCTTGGTAGTTTCGGGATTGGTCGAGTATGGTACAAACAAAGTTTATACCAAATTCATATAACATTTCCAAGTAAATTCATGAATTCGTTTAAAAATAAACAAAATTTTAGCAAGTATATTGTGTTTGTTTGCAGGTATCATGAACATAGAGTTTGTACTTAAACTTGAACTTGAAGTTTTGAAAATAAATGCCATGGAAATTTGAAGTTTCATAAAACAATACACCTGTAAAAATCCAGAGTTCTTATAGGTGATTTGTTAGGATTATGTAGATGATGCTTTTAAAAACAACTGTAAAATTTAGTTTGTGCAAATTACTTTATTGTCCATAATTTTATTTTGTGATAGAAGACAAAAATGTTTTTTCACCCTCTTATAGTTGACAAAAAGAGTTTCATTAATATGTAGTTTAAATTAACTTCTTCCTTACAAATCTGTTATGTGTAAATAAACTAACTTGAAATAGGTCCAATTTTATGGAAAATGATCATCTTCGAATCCTTTCCACCAAATCCACAATCAATCAATCAATCCAGGCCCTTGAAATTTGATCCAACGGCTACAAACAGGGGGCCCTTTAAAAGTTATAATAACTTTAGCTGTTGGACTAAATTTGTCACATCCCGGGCTCGACTCCACCGTAGCACGATATTGTCCGCTTTGGGCCCCGTCCACTCCCTCACGGTTTTGTTTCTGGGAACTCACACGAGAACTTCCCAGTAAGTCACCCATCCTGGAATTGCTCTCCCGTGAACTCGCTTAACTTCGGAGTTCCTACGGAACCCAAAGCCAGTAAGTTCCCAAAAGGCCTCGTGCTAGGTAAAGATGAGAATATACATATAAGGCTTATAAGATCCACTCCCTTGAGCGAAGTGAGATGTTACAAAATTTCAAGAGTCCGAATTAGGTGATTAGGTGGATTTGGTAGAAGAAATCCGGAAATGTTCCCTTTCCCAATTTTATGGCCTAACAATTAGATTAGTCCAATTTTTAGTTATTTTTTTATTTAGGTCATGCATAGGACTCCATGTGTCAACACTTTTTGTTGTTTGGTTGATACTTTGCATTGTGATTACTATTTTATTCTACTATAGCTAATCAATGGAAAAAAGAAAAAAAAGAAAAAAAAATAGTAAATGATACGATCGGTACATTGGTAGCTACTCTCTTTGAGGATAATCGCTAAAAAGATAACGACTAGTCATATTAAGAGTCGCTATCTTCATACTGATCCCACCCTTTTCATTTTTTTTTTCCAGTTTGTTATTATTATTATTTTTTTGTTAATGTTTCTTTTATTTCTCTTACCATAATAACAAACTATCATATTCGTGTTTTTTAAAATATATATTTCCATGCAAAATATATTATAATTTTTTTTAGACACTTGTAATCAATGATTTAAAACCCAAATTTAAAGATATTTTTCTATTTTCTCACTTTAAAAATCAATAAAAAATAGTTTCAGGACCTAATAATCGGTAGGATCACATCCAAAGGTTTTGCAATATTTTCCTTAACTCCAAGTGTAAAATATTTCTTAAAGCTAAAAATTTCAATTTTTCATTTTTTTTCACAAAAAACTGTGTGGCTATAATATAAGCCAAAGTTAAAGTCATTCTATTCACACCACATATTTCCTAAAATTAATTTAGGACATTTTCAAAATTTTGGACACCAATAAATCTCTTGGGGGCCTCGCTATTAGTTATATTATTTTTCTATTTTTTTTTTCAACTCAGGTACCCTTTTAGTCGGCATAAACCCAGATTTTAGCTGATATTTTTACAATCTAAATTACCTATCATATAAGTACTTTTACAGTCTAAACTACATGTCATATAAGTACTTGTACAAACTAAACTACCTATCACATTATAATATTAGTCGGCATAAACTTAGATTTCAACTGATCTTTTATAAT